GTACTATACAAAATTCAAATATTTAAAGGAAATGTACAATTTTCTGTATATATCACTTACCAAAATAAAATCAAGAACATGTAAGAAATTTTAATAGAAGTATAACCCCTAATTAAATAGAAGCAGTCATCAAAAGTTTCCCAACCAAAAAAAAGTTTAGGGCCAGATGGTTTCTGTGCAAAATTCTACCAGAAATTCAAAGAAGAGCTAATTCTAATATTTCTCAAAGGGTTCCACACAATAGAAACACGAAGGTCATTGTCAAACTCATTTTACGAGAATACAATTACCTTGGTACACAAGCCACAAAAAGACACAACTAAGAAAGAGAACTACAGACCAAGCTCCCACATAAATACTGATGGGAAAATACTTAATAAAATAGTAGCAAATCAACTCCAAGAACACATCAGAAAAATCATCCACCATGATCAAGTAAGCTTCATCCCAGGGATGCAGGGTTGGTTCAACATGAAAATCCATCAATGTTATGCACCATGTAAACAATTTGAAAAGGAAAAAAAAACACATGATGATCTCACTAGATGCTGAAAAAGCTTGTGACAAAATCTAAAACCCTTTCATGATAAAGGTCTTGGAGGGATCACGGATAACAGGCACATACTTAAATATAATAAAAGCAATATACAGCAAACCAACAGCCAGCATCAAACTAAATGGAGAGAAACTCAGTGTGAATCCTTTAATATTAGGAACAAGACAAGGCTATGCATACTCTCCATATCTCTTCAATATTGTACTAGAAGTTCTAGCTAGAGCAATAAGAAAACAAAAAGAGACAAAATTGGATACAAATTGTGGGTTTCACCATCATGGTCTTGACCCTTTTGCTCATCACTCCTCCATCTATGTCACTAGGTTCCAGGAGTTCAGTTCAGTGTTTAGCTTTGGGTATCTGTCTCTGCTTCCATCAGCCACTGGATGAAGGGTCTAGGATGGCATATAAGGTAGTCATCAACCTTACCATCAAGGAGGGGCATTTAATGTAGTCTCTCCACTATTGCTTAGTTTGCCAGTTGGTGTTATCCTTGTAGATCTCTGGAGATCTCACTAGTGTCAGTTCTCTCCTAAAGCCTATAATGACTCAATGTATTATAGGGGAGCTCTTGAATCCCAGACTGATGCCTGAGAGGCTAACAGGGGACTGATCCAGATTCCATGAATGTAGTCTCAGTGAGGAGGCCAGAGAAATCACTGTGGCCTTGGGTAGTAGATCAGTGTTTATCATGGTTTATGAATGATCTTTGGGAGCCCATTCCAAATACAGGGATGCTCTCTCAGCCTGGACAGATGGAGAAGGGCTGAGATCCTGGCCTGGATGAAATGACAGACTTTAGAGATTCCCCCAAAGGAGGGCCTCACCCTCCCTGGGGAATGATGTGGTGATGGGTGGGGGTTGGGAGGGCTGGTGGAGGGACAAGGGAGGAGGGGTGAGAGAGAGCTGGAATTTTCATGTGAAGCATTCATGTTTCTAATTTAAATTAAAAAAATTACAAAGAAGTGGATACAAATTGGAAAGGAAGAAGTCAAACTTTCATAATTTAAGATGACATGATAGTCTACATAAGTGACCCAAAAATTCTACCAGAGAACACTTATAGCTGATAAAAACCTTCTGCAAAGTGGCAGGATACAAGATTACCTCAAAGAAATCAGAAACCTTTCTATTTAGAGATGATAAATGTGCTGAGAAACAAATCAGAGTAACATGGCCCTTTACAATAGCCACAAACAACATATAATACCTTGGGGTAATGCTAACCAAACAAGTAAAAGACCTGTATAACAAGAACTCTGAGTCTTTAAAGAAAGAAATTAAAGACAGGCAAAACAGCCCTGTACAATAAAAGAACTTCTGGAGGCATCACCATTCCTGACTTCAAGCTGTACTATAGAGCTATAGTCCTGAAAACAGCTTGGTATTGGCACAAAAATAGACAGGTAGACCAATGGAATTGAATCGAAGACCCTGGTATCAACCCACACACATTTGAACCCTAATCTTTGACAAAGAAGCTAAAACTATACAATGGAAAAAAGAAAGCATCTTCAACAAATGGTGCTGGAGTAACTGGATGCTGGCATGTCAAAGATAACAGATAGATCCATATCTATCAACATGCACAAAACTTAAGTCCAAATGGATCAATGACCTCAACATAAATGTAGCCACATGGAAATTCTTAGAAGAGAAAGTGGGAGGAACTCTTGAACAAATTGGTACAAGTGATTGTTTCCTGAACATAACACCAGTAGAAAAGACACTGAGATCGACAATCAACAAACGGGACATCCTAAAACTGAGAAGCTTCTGTAAGGCAAAGGACAGAGTCAATAAAAAAAGCAACCCACAGAATGGGAAAAGATATTCACTAACCCCACATCTGACAGAGGGCTGATCTCCAAAATTTACAAAGAACTCAAGAAGCAACTCTCAAAAACACCAAAGGATCCAATTAAAAAATGGGGTATAGAACTAAATAGAGAATTCTCAATAGGTGAGTCTAAAATGGCTGAGAGGCACTTGAGAAAGGGTTCAACATCCCAAGCCATCCAGGAATTCTGAATCAAAACAACACTGAGATAACATCATACTCCTGTTAGAATGGCTAAAACACCAATGCCAGTCTATGCTGGAGAGCATGTGGAGAGAGGGGAAAATTCCCCCACTGCTGGTCCATACACCCACTTTGGAAATCAGTATGGAGATTCCTCAGGAAAATGGGACTCAGTTTATCCCAAGATCCAGCAATTCCATTCTTAGACATGTACCCGAAAGAGGCACAATCCTTCAACAAGGACATCTGCTCAACTATGTTTATAGCAGCATTATTTGTAATTGCCAGAACCTGGAAAGAACCTAGATGCCCCTCAACTGAAGAGTGGATACAGAAAAGGTGGTACATTTGCACAATGGAATACTATTCACTGGAAATAAAAAATGGAATCTTGAAATTTGCAGGCAAATGGATGGCACTGGAAGAAACCATCCTGAGTGAGGTAACCCAGTCACAAAAAGGCAAGCATGGTATGTACTCACCCATTTTAGATTTTAGATATGTAGAAGGGCATTGGCAACTCACAATCCCACTGCCAGAGAGTCTAGGAAACAGGGAGGACACTAAGAGAAATATGCATGGTACCCCAGAGGAGGGTAACAGGTAAGAATTTCCTGAGGGGATTGGGAGTGGAGAGAGGAAGCTGAGATAAAGAGAGTGGGTGAAGAGGTGTGGAGAGGAGGATATGGGGGAGCAGAAAGACTGAGTCAGGGAAAGAATAGAAGAGAGCAGGATGACAGATACCATAATAGAGTGCAACATTATAGGTTTGAAGAGAGTTCTGGTACTAATGAGATGTCCAGAGACCTACAAGGATGACACAAACTAGCAATCTAACCAATAGTGGAGAGGCTATCTTAAATGCCCACCCATGATAATGTGATTGAGGACTTCCTTGTATGCAATCCTAGAACCTTCATTCAGTGGCTGAAGGAAGCAGAGGCAGACACCCACAACTAAACACTGGACTGAACTCCGGGAAACCAGTTGCCGAGAGGGAGGAGTGATGAGCAAAGGGGTCAAGACTGGGGTGGTGAAACCCACAGAAACAGCTGACCTGAACATGTGGGAGCCCATGGACCCCATCTGATAGCTGAGAGACGAGCAAGGAACTGATCCAGATCCCCTGAATGTGGGTGTCTGTGAGGAGGTCCTAGGCCCTGCCGCGGATGATATGACAGACTTTGGAGATCCCACATGAATGTCCTCACCCTCCCTGGGGAACAGATGTTTGGGGGGGGTTGTAGTGGTGAAGGTGGTAGGGGGAGGAGGGGGAGGGATAGGGAGCTGGGATTGATATGTGAAGCAAGTTTGCTGCTAATTTAAATAAAAAAAACTTTTAAAAAAGAAAAAAATCTAAAAAAATTCACCCATGTGCCCTCCTAGGAAGGTAGATTTTTGAGGTACTTGACCATACACAATTTTAGAAGATCTTAGAAATCTGGCAATGTCAGAGACAATGGATGTGAGCATCCCTGATGTGAGTGAGCAGGGTATACAGGCTGGAGGGGGAGAGATCCCTTGGGGTCCACACAGAAAACAAAACAAAGGGAGGTTGCTGCTGTACTGCTACAAAGCAACCCAACTCAGAGTTAATCACTGAGGAAACAGGAGCTGTGGAGCTATGATCCTCAAAGGCAGACGTACCTTGGAGTGCTTGTCCAAAGTCTTCCTATACCAACACACTTGTACCAACCTATGTGATATGAATGCAAAGATTAGAAATAGGACCTTGGGTCTCTAGGGTTCTACTCCTATCTGCCTCTGCTACACTAGCTGGTCAGTGGGCAAGCCTCTTGCACACAGGTTGCTCCAACACTCCGTAATAGGACCCAGTAATTCACAAGACTCACTCTGCCCCAAATGCACCCATCCATTCCCAGAGACTTAAGCAGCTCCCTGAGAAACAGACCATGGCTGCGCAGAGTGGGCCAAGAATGGCTCCCCAAAACACAAACAACAACTGTAACAATCAGTCCAAGGGAGTATCCCTGAGATACAGACACCAACTACAATGATTGGATTGTGGTAGTACATTATTCACTGCTTTGCTTTCTGAAGGGTACAACAATCTTTAATAAATAAAACATAATACACCACAACATTGGACCAAGAGGGAAAGACACTAACTGAATCCATTAGAGCAAAAGATGGGAAGGCACCAATGCAAGCATATATTCAACAATCTAAAAAGCAATATGACAACGTGAGAACCTAGTGGTCCTACAACAGTTAAAACTGACCAACCTATTCTAGAAAAATCAGGAGAAAAAGACCTTAAATACAACCTTTTGAAGTTGATAGATACCCTTAAGGAGGAAATGAAAAGTCCTCTTAAAGAAATAGAGGAAAAGACAAACAAAAAAAAAATGGAAGAAATGAGTAAATCTCTTTTAAAAAGTCAAGTAAACCAAGAAATGGTGCCTTGAACCATGTCACTTCATTTAAACAATTTTCACACCATGATTTGAGAAATATGGAAGGATAGGGCTTTGTGTTTAGTAATTTGTCACATACTTGTCATTGACATCTGGATTGTTGGGATAATTAGTTTCAAAAGCATCACCTAAACAAGGACTTCCGACTGCCTCTTAGAAATGAGGGTAAGTGGGAAAGTTGCCGCTTACTGCCTTCTATTGCTGGGTAGTCCTTGTTTTAGATAACCAGGAGTGGAAGAAATAGTTTTGTTGTCCTCAAAAGCAAAGAGGTCTATAGTGAATGTCAGCGTGAGGAGAATTATGCTGGGGGCCTCCTTGCTGGACTGGTCCTTGTGGGTTTTCATCAGCAGGGGAATATTGGTCTTGAACCCTTCCTGTCAGTGTATCCTGTTGGAGATTGTTCACTTCATTCCCAGCAGCAGCAGCGGACCCTTGTTCCTCTTCTGCCTGGAATTCCTTCTGTGGATCATTGTTTTCAACCTCATTGGCAGGAGAGGTCTGTGAGACTTGGCTCTGGAATTTGTCCTCAGGTTCTGTATGAGGGACCAAAAGATAAGAGCACACTAGTGAAATAATTTCCTTTGGTTTTCTTTCCCTGACCTAATCATACAATCCTTTCTCCTAGAACCTGTCTGCCAGCTGCTAACTCTTTCTTTCATGAATCCTTGTTCTTTGGTTTTCTAAATCTACATCCTATGAGACAGAAGGCTCTGTTCTTGCACCTGGGGACAAGTATGAGCTACAGCTGTAAAACTTAAAAGTCTGGGAAACCTTATTTATCACATTAGAAGTCCCCAAAGGGAAGGGGGCAATAATGAGAAAAGAAGAACATATTAACAACATGTTGGGAAATATGTTTATATCTTTAGAGAAACTAATATTGAATCATTCCTAAGACAGAAAATATGTTAAGATGACACACTGAAACACAGTTACACAGCATGAAAGGATGACCTGTTGTTGGGCTTTACCTGCAGGGACAGCTGAAGGATCTCCTTCCCCTCCAAGGATCTCTAAAAATAAAACATACTTTACAGATGTCCTAGGAGCAGAAGTGAGCTCATCAGTCAGTCTGTGAGACCTTCTGGAAAGGGCCAGGAATGCAAGAGCCATGTGCTGAGTCCATGTGCCATTACATAATAACTCTGAATATAAAACCTCTTTTGTCCTCCCAGCACATCTACAACACAAACTACTCCCTTTCCCTAAGAACACTGCATATTTTAAGGTCACATTAAGAATATGTCTCATCAGTTTCTTTCTTCCTTAATTCTTAGTCCTTTCGGGACACAAATCAAAGAGTACACATCATAGAAAGTAACACATATTGCTTGAAGCACTTTAAAATTCTGAATGTGGGCCTGAGTAAAATATGCATATTGGGCTCTGAGACTTGTACTTCAGTGTCTAGACCACTGGATTTGTTCTGTAATTCTATGATATTGAACTAATTCTGGTGTGTTTATCTGTTCCTTGTGTCTAGCATTCTCTGTGTAGCAAAGCTAGTTGCTCCCTGTATTAACACTGATTATCAGAATGTGCTCACAAATGTTGACATTTTCCTTGCCTCTGGAAGCCTGGGGAGCATTTTCCTGAACACAAAATTGGCCTTCCTGTTCCTCTGCTCAAGCATTTGATGGTTTTTGAATTAAATATTAAATGAAACGAGTGTGTTATATGATGGTTATATAACTGTTCTAACCCTTATCATAGGAAATCTGCTGGGCTGTCTTTCTTCTCACCTGATTCTGTCCTTTTTCTCCTCTTTATTCCCTTCTGTCTTTTGAAAGTGCCCCACCTTATAAAGGTTTATACCTTCACAGGGACTAAGAGCTGAGCTCAGGACAAACAAGGCCACTGTGAAAAGAACTCTTGGAGGAGGCTCTGGAGTTGGCTCAAGTGAGCGCTGAGACTAGAAATGCCACTCTCTTTATAAAATGGAGGCCAACAATGGCTTCTTTATTTCACAATTGGAAGAACCTGCTCCATTATTTCTGTTTGGGACTTTAGCCCAGCAGTGAGTTTGTGGAGGAGATTGTCAACACTTCCTATCTAGAATGAATAACACATAATGTGGTGATGAGGTTAAAGTAGCATTGTCTCTTCACAGACAAGTGTATTCCATTGTTCATGTGCCACATTTTCAATCCACTCAGTAGCTGTAGGACATAGGTTGTTTCCATTCCTAGCTATTGTGAAAAGAGTGACAATAAGCATGGATAAGCAAGTATCTGAGGATCAGGGTGTTGACTCCTTTGAACATATGAACATATGCAAACATAAATGTATATGTGAAATAGTTGAGCCATAAGATAAATGTATATTTAGGTTTCAGCATTCTGTACCCACACTGCTTTTCTGGTTGCTATACTTTGTACTCACACCAATGGTGGATGAAGATTCCCTTTTCCAAACTTCCCTTGAAGAGATTGTTGTCAGCTCTTTTCTTGACCTTGGCCATTCTGACTTGTGTAAGATGAAATCTCAAAGTATTTTTAGTTTGAAACTCTGTAGTTTCTTATAGTGTTGAAAAATTTTTGCAACATGTGTAGCCTTTTTTACTTCATTTTGAATCCTCTTAATTGATTCCTTGATCACTTTCATTTGAACTACTTTTTTGTTGATTGTTTTTTTAATTCCCTATATGTTCTGGATATTAATCTCCTCACAAAGGTATAGCTGGAGAAGATTCTCTCGCAACATGTGGCCCTCAACTTTTCTAGATTTTCCATTTTCTGTACAGATTTTTTAGTTTTATGAAATCCTATTTACCAAATTTCTCCTCAATTCCTGTAAGAATGAACCCTAACTCAGAAGTCACTTTCCTAATCCTGCATCCTGTAGGGTACTGCCTGTGTGCATCTACTAGTTCCAGGACTTAAAATTTAACTTGGGGTTTTGATGCGCTTGGAGGTGATTTCTGTATAGAGTGGTAAATAAACATGGATCCAATTTCATTCTTCTACATGAGGAAATTGTTTCACCAGCAACATTTTTGAACATGCCATCCTCCCTCTACTGTATTTTCAGCATTTTCATTAAATATTACAAGGCTATAGCTTTGCAGATTCCTATGTGGATCTTCTGTTCCATTCCATTGACCACAGGTCTGAATTTGCTAGTATCCCACTGTTTTGATTCCTATAGCTGTGGAACATAGCTTAGAATGTGATAATATAATCCTTCAATTTTTTCTCAGAACTGACTTAGCAGTTTGTTTTATGTTTCAATATAAATTGTAGAATTATATAGTAGAATTATTTCTGTGAAGAATCTCATGGGAATTTTGGTTGGAATTATATTGAATCTATAAGTTATGTAGAATACTCATTTTTACAATATTAATCACACCAAATCCTGAAGATCTTTTCATATTTTAGGGCATTCCTTGATCTCTTTTCTTCTCAGATTGGGAGTTTTCAATGGAGAAAATGTTCAAACCTAAGTCAAGTTTCTTCACAGATAGTTTCATGCTACTGTGAATAGGATTGTTTACATGTTTGCTCTTTATTTTGTTTGTTCATTAGGGTTATATTTAACTAGTAAGAAGGTCAATACAGAAAGGGAAATGAGAAAGGCATAAATAACACTATATTTTAAATGACTTAAAGAAACATATTTTATTATTATTTAACATACACCGAGAAAACATAAATGTGTATAAAGCCAAATACATACATAAAGAGTATAAATGAAGTTGGACCTCTTGCTTGATAATGCCTCCCCCAAGAGGCATAGAGAATCTAACAAAAACCACACTACCAGGCACGGAAAACTTTCCATAGAGTTGTAGGTACAAGAGACCCCAAAACAATATCAGGTATCGCCATTATCATTGCTTGCCTTCGAAAACATGATGGTAAGAGCCTATGACAGGTGACACTACACATGTTGGACATAGGATTTGGGGAATCAGGATTAAACAATACTGAAATTTTCTTGCCTGAAGAATAGCTCCCTTAGCCTCCTGGAAGTAGCAAGAATGTTTCTAATGAAGGAAAGCAGTCAATAGTGTACTAGAGTTATCCAACTACATTCTAAATACTTATGCTTATACCCACAAACAAGTGTAACTCTCTGAATTCACCAGAGAAGCTTGTTTTGTAACCAAGAGACATGACACAGAAAAGTTCAACTGGTCAGAGTACTGAGAAGAAAAACCATGGGATGCCAACCTCACGTTGAATTTCTACAACACAACACCTACACCTAAATCTCAGGAAAACTTATGGAAGATGGAGCAGAGAGACTACAAAAGCCAGATGGCCAGGCATCTTTTATATATGATGGGGAACTATATACCCCAAAACCTCAATGAGCATTAACTAAAAACGACCAGCACAATGATCACAACAATTGGCATGTCCACATGGTTCTTGGAAATCATATGAGGCCCCACTCCTAGATGAAGAAATGAAGTAAATCAATGACTGCTGAAGGAGAGCATCTTAGACAGAATTCTACTATGTCAGGCCCACCTATACCCAATTTCAAGTGGTCGGTCCTAAGTCCATACACAGACAAGCATCACTAGATGGGTTCAATATGTGATATTTATAAGCTTGTGTGAATATGTGTTTAACAATCATAATTATAAAAGTTGTAATACTCCCTATCAATGACTGAGGCAGATGAGAGAGAGAGTTGTCAATAAGGAATATGTGGTCTAAAAACCTCTCCTTGTTAGTAAGATTCTAAAACTTACTAAAATACCAGTGACCAGAAACCAACAAAGGCATCTAGACAGTGATGTGAGTACATGTTTTCCAGGGTTAATATGTTTTTCATGCTGAGAGCTTTTGTGAGACTCCCCCCTTCTCTAGTATGATTCTTGTGGCTGCTTTTGAGTGTTCTTCTCTTAAGGAGTAGTTTTGTTAACTGTCAATTTCCATGACTGACCACAATTAAAGATGTGCTTAGACTGGTCTATATAGCTTCTAAGTACAAAAATACTCCATTCCTCCAGTATTATAGTCCTCTCTTCCAGTGCTTTTTGATTGATATTCAATACCCAGTATCAAATACAGATTAGTGTTATTCCACATTTTCCTTGTAAAAATGGTTTGTTGATATTCCCTCTCATGAACTAATTTAATTTTCCACATAAATCACACTTATTCTAGGACAACCTGTCCATTTAGCTTTCTAATAAAATTAATACATTTATGTTTTCTACCTTATTTTCATTATTAATTAGGAAAACAATGTATTCTGTGTGCAGTGATCCTTCTTTTGGTACATGGTCTGATGACTCTTTTCTCTCCCAATGTTTGCTTTATTATATCTAGCTACTGACTGTCATATTTTTTCTTGGATAATCCAGTTAGCACAGCTGCCTCTATCATGCAGTCCTTGAGGAATTCCATGATGTTCAGATTAGTGCAGGGTGGTGATATGTGAGGTATAAGGCATCTAGGTTCATGTGGTAGAAATATCTAAGAATTCTCCCTCAACCACAGTAGATCATGGAGGCAGGGGCTGTGCCTATGAAGGCCAAAGAGTACAGAGATTATTACAGGAAGGTCTTGAAAATTGTGTGAGCCAATGATGATACAGCCCATGAAGGCCAATATCTATAACATGACTTCTCCATGCTGCAGTGGTTGTGTATTCTGAAAAGTAGAAGCTAGCACTCAGGAAAACTAATCCAGTTTGATGTCATGGGTCTCCTTAGACTTAAGGGTTTTAATAGAGATGGGCAAGTTGTTTACCCCTGGCAGGCCCTTATATGTAAGCCAGGGCACTGTCTGATTTCTCCAGGTATTAAATAGAAAGTGAGACTGGCCTCAGTGGTGTTCAAAGTTTGGTTTAGAAAGGCTTCAAGTAGGAAAGGTAGAGAGAAACAGCAGAGGGTAGAAGCAGGCTGGATATCTCCTACTGTGGAAGCAGAGGCCAAGTACAATCCAATCTTGACCTTAGCATGATGTGTCCTAAAACACAGGGGTAGCTTCTGCCAAAGAAACTAAATCAGACCCCTTGCATGACTCCTTCAGTTTCAGCAACTACTGAGAAGGGTAAGGTATCATGAAAGAAAAATATCACCTGTGAACTCAGTGTCCAGAGTGAAATCAGATTATGGAAAATCTGACAAACAAATGTATTAGGAGGGTGTTGAGGATGAATAAATGGACCAGGGTCCATAAACAATATTTGCTTTGATTTTATAATATTCAGTGCAACTATTTATATATGGGATATTTGTTTTTATTTTTTGAGTAGTCCTTACTTGTATATTATGAGTTTTGATGTAATCTAACCCTTTTTCCTCCTCTCTAATTCCTTTGCTATCCAATCTACTGATAGTTTTTTTCACAATTTCATAACTCCTTTCTTAAAACATATGAGTTCACCTGGTTGTGTACTGCTGTAGGGTTAAATTACTTTGCTAAGATTGTGATGTACTGTTATGTTCATTTTTCTCAATATAATGCAATTTTAATATATTTTATTTAGTATTTTATCATACATAGAAATGGATTGTTTTGTGAAATATCAACTGATGGGAAAAGTCCTTCTGTGTATATGTTGTCCTATTGGTTGATAAATAAAGCACTGTTGGCCAATAGGGAAGCAAAATAGGTGGGAATAGAAGTCAAGGAGGATTCTAGGAAATGTAGTTAAGACTGGAGGGTCACTATGTGATCCCAGGAGTAGAGGGTGTAAATCTGGCATTCTTGGTAAGATAAGACCTTATAAAAATGTATATTAGTAATTATTGGTTAATAATTAAATCTTAACTAACCATTAAGCAACCATAGCAAACAACAAACAATTTCATAATTAATATAGCATCCGGTGTGTTCATTTGGGACTGATGCGGCTCTGGGACCAGGCTGGCAGACAAATGCATGTCAGATATGTTACCCACGTGAGGTATGAATTTCCACGTACAATGACAAC